ATAAAATAAAATAAAATAAAATAAAATACTTCTTGGTCCTAACATCTAAAGATCCAAGTCTCTGTGGGGAAGAACATCTTGACCCTGGCTTTGGGAACCCCAGAGGAAAACCCCTTGGTATGGAGATGGCTCTGAGAGGACCAAACAGCCCCATTCCCTTGAGAGATGCAGCTTTTCCTGCCAAAAAAAGTGGAGGTGAGGTCTGCAGAGCTCAAGTGCCCTGAACACAGCAGGGCAGCGCATCTCCTATGCCCTATTGCCACCATGGGACCTGGAATTGGGGACAAACATCCCCATCTGGGGCTCTCAATTGAAGTTTGATTCATCCCAAGCTGCCACCCATCATCTTTTTTTCTACTTAATATGGAAAAATGTGACCTCCATTTTGTGGGAAAAGCTTGGAAGCTTTGGGTTATGGGTTTTTGTTTTGTTTAAAAAACATTTAAAAACCCAATGCTAATGTAAACACCTTGTCTTTCAAATGAAAAATAAAGGAAAATATCTATGTTCTGGTAATATTTACATTACAAAGCCCTTATTTTCAGGACTAGGACATAGATCTCTTTTGGAAGCGTGAGCTTATAACAATTGTACACAGCGTGAACCAATTATGCAAAAACTGATTTTAGATTTCATCCCATATTCCTGTGTCAGAAAGGGGTAGGTTACACAGTTGATACGTATTTTTCCATTTTGGGGGAAAATAATTAATGGAGTTGAATGCTTCATCCAGGAGTACCTTCAAAACCTGCAATAATTATGAAGTCGCATATCTGAATTGTGTTTTTTCTTCTCATTGGTGCCTTTGGTGAGCACACACAACTCCCCACCACATGGCACAGCTCAGAACGGAAATATCTCCACATTTCCTCGTTTTCTTTGAAGACGGACATGAATTTCTGTTTTTTTATGTCACTCCATAAGCAAGCAAGCACTTCCCAACATGCACGGTCTATGTTTTCTGATGCAAATGCGCAAGCCTAATCCTGGCACCATAAAATTAGCATTATTCGTCATCTCACTCAATTCCAGAGCCTCCAGCACCCCTCTGAGCTCCCATGCTTTGCTGTGCACCTGAACAGCAGCTGCATTTAATTGTGAAAAGATCCCTTATTTTCCCCCATATTGCCAAATTTTCCCAATAAAACCAGTTCTCAATGGTGACAGATGCCACGCTTTCCAGTGGTGGTAGCTATCTGCTTTTCTGCCTATGGCGTAAGATGGAAAGGCACAGGGGAGGCTGCACATCGTTAAAGCATTTTTAAAAACCATGGGGCTTTCAAAAATAGAGGGAAAAAAAGGGAGAAGTCAAGCAAGGGGACGTAGAAATGCAACCAAAAATTTGGAGACTGCTCGGAAAATGCATCCTTAAAAACAGCAATAACATTTCCGGACAGCACTGTGAGCTCCATGGACATCTTCATGGGGGTTTCTTGCAATGGAAATTTGGCGTAAATTCTCTTGAAAGAAATGCCGTTTTTTTCTGGGAGGCTGTATTAGGAACCTCTACATCTACAGCAATATTTTTCTGGAATTAAACCTGCTAAACCTGAAGATGGAGCTTTTTATTCGTCACCATGAGACATATTGAAGCCTGAAGAAAAAGGAAATCAGCATGTCGGCTCTGCTCAACTCTCTCTCTGTGAGGCACCCCCTTCAGAACAGCTATCAGTTTTGTATTTAAATCATATATATTGACAAAATGTAATCTACCTCTGTAAGCATTGTGCCATTTGACAGTACTACTAGTAAATTTATATACCACAGTTTAAATTACATCCATTTCATGAATGGGAAAATGCTAAAACTCAAGTGTCTAACTGCCAAAATACAGCCTTACTGGAATGAGTACAATTTACAAATACAATAATTACATTTTAAAACCATTAACAATGTTACATCTAGAAGTAAATACTGTAGGACTGGTCAAGACGGTGTTTTCCAAGGAAAAAAACGCTGAAAGTTGTCGGCACTTCCAACAGAAATGTCCCGAGTGCAGGATTTAGTTCATTTTCCTTAAACTGTAATTAAAACCCGTTCCACGCACAGCAGTCCTGGGGTATTTTCCGTATTATTTCTCCATAGACTTGCATAAGCTTCCATCAGTTATCGGCCAAGTATTTACCTGGAAATGGGACCAGAAATCAGCTGTGGGGAGGGAGCGAGCAAGCAGCCCCGATTCTCGGGGGATGGCTGCCCGCCTCCACACCCACAGCACACAGAAAAATACTGGTATTTCTCTGCAGCAATGGGGTGAAAGAGAAATATTTTTATTATTTCTCTGCAGCAGTAGGGCAAAAGGAGAAATATTTGTATTATTTCTCTGCAGCAATGGGGTGAAAGCCCTTCCTGGAGATGCCCAGACCTTGCCTTTCATGCAGGACCCATGAGCAAAGATGAGCCCATGAAACTTAAGGCTCTTGGAAGCAGTCGCAGGATTTATTTTGTGCAAGGGAGCTCTGGGCTCAAACAGCCACCAAATATCCCACAAGAACAGTGCCAGGTGTGCCAGCACCACTGGAGGGGACTGTCAGGGACATTGCTGTCCCAGAACGAGCCACCGGTGATGCGCCTACCTGCTGCAAACCTCTTCTTGATGAGGGAGAAGCGGTATCCGGCGCCCACGAGCTCGATGTCGCAGCTGGACAGGGTGCTCCCCTCGCTGGTGAACTGCACAGCCAGGGGGGCCGGGGTGCTGGGCCCCTCCCCGAGCTGGAAACGGGCCAGCAGGGACCCCACGCCTGCAGTGCACAAAGTCCCAAAACCAGACCCTTACAAGCCCGCAGAGGCAACGAGATGCCCAAAAAGGCTGTGAGCTGAGCCCACTCCCACGCTGGTACCCAACCCTCATCCTCCCAGCATATTTGGACTTTTCAGACACCCCAGTGATACAAAACAGCGTGGGTGACACACAGAGAAGTGACCCATGGGGGGCTATGGTCCCCCAAAGTGGATGCAATGCAAGATCACATCCTTCAAATGTAGAGAGGGTCAATGGACCAAAGGAATTGGCCAACAACTGCATCCCAGCCCAGGGCATCAACACCCTCCATGCCGTCGGCAAAACCATGCCAGTGGCACATAGCCCTGCTTTCCAAAACTCTCTGCTCCTCAGTTTAAATAGCAACCTCCCCCGGCACGAATCTGTGTGTCCGGATTTGGGATAAATGGGTCAGTAACTGATTTAGGTATTCAGAGTTCATAACACACGTGTTTGTGAGATTACCTCCGTTTTCCGACTTCTGGGAGATATCGGGGATCTTCCACAATATCCTTTGCTGTTCAGTGTTCCTAAAAACACAAGAAGAGTGTTTCTGTAGGAAGCGAGAAGTTACAAAGGAGATATCTGAATTTTACTAAAGGCCAGGTGGGATGGGGGAGCAGCTCTGGTGCCACACTCCGGAGCTGCAGTTCTGGGACCATTGGGTTTGACCCAAAAAAGAAACAATGGCAGCGATGGCCGTGCATCCCTCTGAGCCCTGAGGCAATAATAAAGTAGCCAAAATTTGAAATAAGCAGGCAGAATGGCTTTTTTAGGCAGGGAAATGGCAAAAGGCAGCAAACCGAGCTCAGGGTCGATTCCTACCAGACTGCAGGAGGAAGCACAGCTTGAAGTTTGGTTACTCCACCGTCGACGGGGACGAGGAATTGGACGTTGTTTAGAGCTACCGGTGTGGTCATTGCCTCTGTATTGTATTTGTAGTCAATGCGGAGGTCAGTGCTTGCAGGGTCACACCGCCAGCTCACTGCAAGGTTTAATGGAGTAGACTGAATACCCTGGGCAGATACCTTCCAAAATGACAGAAAAAACATTTAGTTTCCGTAGGGGGGAAAGGGAAAAAATATCCCATTTTTTACAGACGCGGTCATTGCATTTGGTTTCAGAGGAGGCAGTGCCTCGTATTCTCATTGCAAGTCTGGACTGGGCTCAAAAATTGGGCAATCTAGGACATAGCATGCCCCCACTTCACCTCATCTCCACTCTGCACTAGGGAAATACCATCTTTTACTCCTATAAGTCAAGGCCATGGGGTTTTTTTGGCACGGTTTTGTCCTCCAAAAAATAAAAACCCCTAACACCTACCTGGTATTTGAGCATATCCACATTGTAATAGGTGGCTTGCGGCTTCTGCTCCGATACCTTCTTGAGGTGAGTCATCAGATTTGGCATGTTGACCCAGAACTCCTTTGCGCTGGCATCGCTCTGCGTGTTGTCACTGCACAGGGGGAGAATTAACCCTTCCAATAAGCTGCTTTGGTGGAAAAAATACCTTTTCTACAGAGCACATAGGGCAGCAGCACTGCATTTAATCCCAAATCTAGAGAAATAGTGCCTCCCTCTGCCTTGTCCTTGGATACCACCAGGGACACATGGCAGATGCAAGCTGTAGATCACCTCATTTTGTGAACGGGAGGTCCAATTGTAACCTGATTGACTGGATAATATAAAAAACATTCTTATACATGTATATTGACTAACTTTATCTAGGAAGAAGCTGCATAAGGACAGCAGGACTTTAGTTTATCTGGGGCCCACTTTGCTGACTCTGCCTTGCGAGATGGAGGCATAGATAAGAAGTGAATGAACCACCCTACTCAGACCAACTTGATGAGTTAGGCCTTGTGAAAACAAATGCACAGGAACCTAAAAGATAAAAAGACTCCATGAAAGACACAGCTTAAGTGACCACTCCTCAGACTACTGAAGACCACTAAAGACCACTCCTAATGCTAAAAGAGCATGCACAATTAGTATGCAGATATTTTAATTAGTTCTCAGAAATGTAATGCATATGTAAACTTTTTACTGAAAATGTCATAAATATGTATGTGTAAAGCACATATAAGCTACTGCCAACCACTACTATTCTGAGCATTTGCTTTATGAAATTATTCATGTTTGCTTCCAGCACTGAATTAAAGAATGTCTTGCTTTCTAACTCCTACAAACTGGTCTTAGAAAGTTATTGATCCGATATTTCGGTAACATAATGAGCAGAAAAAACTGAGCAAACACCACCAAAGTGCTTGCTCCGCTCTGCTGATGCTCTTCTGCCTGGCAAAGGAGCTGCTCCCCAAGGCAAATATTTAGGGATTTGAGAGTTTCCTCCCCCAGATCAGGAGAGGCTTCCAAGTAAGAGACTTCTTTGCAAAGAAAAATGGATTATTTTTTTTTGGAAACCTGCCTTTTTTGGGGTGCTGGCGAGGCGGGGCCCACACTTACCAGCAGAGGAGCTGGGGGTTTGGCAGGACGTGCTCCAGCCGGTTGTAGTTCAGCACGCGGAAGGTGAGCACCGCCGGCGCGGGGTTGTTGGCAAAGTGTCGGGTGATGCCAGCGGGAAATGACAGCACCATCTCCCCTGTGATCTTCACGATGCACCTGCAGTGTTGCACACACGGACCAAGAGGGAAGGAAACAGGGACGCTCAAAATATGGCAGGAGGGGAGGATTGAGGCCTAAACTGGAGTGAAGGACACCCCAGGAGCATCATCAAAGCCTAAACACCCCTTAAGGTTGTCCTGACCCCTTGAATCGCCATGCAGAGCCCATGGATCAGCACCTACTTGTTGGGGTCAGCCCCTTTGAAGTAGGCGTTGACTGTCTCCGTGAAGGCAGCGGCGACGGGCAGGGTGTCCTGTGCCCCCATGGTCAGGGGGCTGGGGCCCCGTGACGAGCCTGAAAAAGAGCAAAGAAACCTCGTTTTCCTACCTGCAGAGAGAAACAGCACCACTGCCCCCCAAAGTGAGCCCCAGCCTGGCTTTATGGACAAAAAATAAAACAGAAGTCTCTCAGGCTTTGGATGAAGCTTTACAGATGCTATAAAATGGTCTATTTTCCCCCCAAAAAAGCAAGCAAAGAAAATAATGGAGGAACAGCATGCGGGGCTGCAACACCCCCCGGCACAGCTGGGGGGGCTGCCCCACGGCAAGGCTTTGCATGACAGTTTTTGCAGTTGCTTTCTGAGCCCCACAACCAGAGGGGGCTGGGGGGGTCTATGGCCCTTGGCCGCAG